AGTACACCTGCAGTATGGAAACAGTACAACAAAATGGCCGTTTTACACTTTCTTCTAGTAAATTCCTCTCTATATATTCTATTCTCTATGACTAGGACGGACCCAAACTTAACAATTAAAAGTAGTGGTCATGTACAAAATTGCTAGAAGGTGCAGGGTCCAAAAATCCTATACTAGAACGATTGTATATTAAAAACATAATTTTCGTCACATGTTCCTTGCAATTAAAGTAAATAAAAATAATTTGGGCTAATTAGGGACATATATGGGTGTCCATCCTATGGTATGCGATTATATTCTAGAAAATGCCCAGCTAATATTCACAAAAAAACACCATTGCTTCTTTGAAATATATATCACAGGTTTATGTTTTTTACTAGACTAAAAGATTTTGAAGCTGGAATTTTCATTTTTACCGGTCGTCGCCATGGAAATTGGGTTGGCGCACGAGCAGAAGCGAAATTTTGGATTGGTGAATGCGCAGAAGCGAAATTAAATGTCATATCGATAAAGATTCAAAATATGTAAAATATAATAAAACAAATGATAAAATATAATTTTAAACAGTATTTGAGTTTAATACATTCTCTAAAAATTTAAAAATGTTTAAGATTAAAAATCCAAATTTTTTTTGTTATCATCACTAATTTATAATTATTAAATAAAACACACATATATATATATTTGGTTTAGTAATTTCTTTTAAAAAACTTTAAATAATATTAAATTTTAAAAGACTGCATTATTGGGAAGAAATCATTAAATAATTAAAATTGATTGGCATTTTAAGAAAAAACAGCTTTCATTGCTGAATTTACGTTGTATAGTCCCTTTAAATATATTATTTTAGTTGTGGTAGATCGTATATTACGTTGTATAGTCCCTTTAAATATATTATTTTAGTTGTGGTAGATCGTATATTACGTTGTATAGTCCCTTTAAATATATTATTTTAGTTGTGGTAGATCGTATATTACGTTGTATAGTCCCATTAAATATATTATTTTAGTTGTGGTAGATCGTATATTACGTTGTATATTCCCTTTAAATATATTATTTTAGTGGTGGTAGATCGTATATTACGTTGTATATTCCCTTTAAATATATTATTTTAGTGGTGGTAGATCGTATATCTATTTGGAGGAAATCTCTCAAATGAAACGAAAGTACACCCAGTCTGTTCTGGGAATACTAGGTAGAGATAATTCTCAGTTGTAAGGACTCATAATGAACATACAGTGATAACCAGAAAACAATGTAATAGGAAGACGACATTACAACAATACTTAAGTGTATTGATGGTGTTGCAAAGCAAATAGTTTTACCAGACACTTAAAAAATTACTTTTTTGTGAAATGGGTCTGTTTACACTGCACAATTGCTGTGTTTCATGGTTAATGAACCTTTTAAAGTTAAAACTATTCTATTCCAGAGTTTTCTGGTTATCACTGTAAGAATATATTTATAATTGTTATGCTAATATCTTGTCGTATTTTCAGCGGAAAATAAATTATTAGATAAGATTTGAAAATCCCATAAATCGGAAAATATCCTAGATTTTGAAAAAAAAGACAATCTGAGCAGTAAATAATAATGTAATTAGATCAAATTTTTTTCTGAATTGAAATTTCTTTATCTTTTAGAACCAAATCTTATATAAACTAAAACGGGGTTCAACCAAAATTCAAGAAAGCTATCCATTCAATCACTATTGTTTTGAACAATTATGAATTCTGATGAAATTACTCTTCCCAAAACAAATGTGAATTTGGTGTGCATATTTTATTATACTCATTGTCGTTGGCCAACTTTGTGCCACACAAACAAAACAACCTATTTAGGGGGGTATTTGTGTAGATTTTGATTTAAGAGATTCGAAAAAATGGAGAATATAAACAACTTGAAAAAAATAATATTTCATTACAAGAATATTGATATTCACAAAACTGCCTAACCCCATTCGCGAAACCCGGGTTTTAAAACTGGTTTTCATTACGATACTCTGTCTTAAGTTTTGGGCTCTGTCGTAAGTTTTAGGCTCTGTACACTGTACAGTGTACACTGTGTTCTCACCCTTGCTTCCGTATAGAAGTACATCATTTCCGTTTATTGTTGAGCAGAATTCATTTTAAATTGGATATTGAGAAAAAAGATAGATAAATGGAAAGTTGTTACCGCCGTGGCAGTTTCTATTGGATCTGAATCGTTACCAAGCACATAACTGAACCCTGATTGGATCAGACGCTACCGGAAAAATGAGACAATAACAATATTAAAATTTTTCTCATTATTTAAGCATGAGGTGTTTGAGCCTCTTCATCCTAGCATGATGGGGTTTACAGCTGCCTTATACCTCAAATCCCTGGGGGATGGGAAAAAGGTAATAAACAATTTTAAAACGAATATACTCCAAAATAGTAGTTTAAAGAATTTTTAAATTATTTTAATGCATAGTTATGGGATATCAACGTTTTAAATTTTTTTTGAAGTTCGAAACAAGTGGGTCATTTTTGAAAAGCGATCGTTTTTTTCCGAAAACAAAACGATCGTTTTCAAAAACGATCGAAACACGAAACAAAAAACGAACGTTTTCAAAAACTATTAATAACTATTAACAATAAGATAGGGCACAAGACATAAAAATATGTTTCACATATTATTTTTCTGCTTTTTTTTAACTGGCCTTGAAAAAATGGGCTTTGCATATGCATTGCAGCTCTATATCTTTACTCTCAGGAATTTTTCTATATATAGAGTTATACATATATGAGTTAAATAAGATAAAAGTTGGTCAAGAATATTCTCCCCGGTTTCTCCAAAGATTTATTTACAATTCAATGATTTTCCTTTTCTGGGGATAAAACCGCCGATTCAAATTTAAATCACCTACTCAATCTTTAACTTTAAATCGGTGGTTTAAATTTGAACCGGATGAAGATAATTGAGCTACGTGGCTCAAATTAATTAAATTCGGTACCAGGATGCACAAGCATTAATTCTAAATCGATTTTCGTTTTGATCCTTAAAATTGTCTTTAAAAATGTCCGATAAAATGGGACAAACAACTCCTTGAAAGAAAAAAACAACTGTTTGATTTTCATAGATTTTGGAACTTTCGTTTTAAAATCAAAGAATTTACACAACTGCAATCGTAAATATAGTGTGCTATCCACGCACATGATTAATTGATCTTGCTTTTACCATCAAATCAAAGATGTTAAATAGACATTTTTAAAGTGAATTCGAAAATTGGTTCTGAATTGATGCCTTGACGCTAATTAGAAACATGTGTAAAACACATAAAAAATATATAACATCACAAATAAACAACAATGTATGTTTTGTCCCAAAAGTGAAATGTCTCCTAAAGGATGTTGAATTAAAAAAGGCAGTTTAGCTTACTACTCGTTTAATAATTTCTCTCTAAATAGGAAGTTGAGGCCAGCCTTCCTTGTTTTATTTGTGTCCCAATTTAAAACATCGGAAATGTTTTATATATTATTTAATGCCCCAAAAATGATTATTTCAGAATTAAGGCTATGGGTTTATCTGCTATTCATTGTGTAAATTTGATTAATTAAAGGTCAAATAATATATTTGATACTTTTTACCTCTTCAAGTTTGTGAATTTTATAAGTTTTTTAAATTATGTTTAGTCTGATAACCTGAGGAAACAACTTCAACTCCTCTTCAGTAAGGATTCAGCCCAAAAGGTAGAGTATATTTTCTGTCAGTATGTTTCCTTTTCTGTTTTTGTGTTTCCTATATTGTTTTTATGTTTACCAATTACCTGTTTTTGGGTTTTCTACTCCTTTTTTGTGTTTCCATTTCTGTTTTTGTGTTCCTAATTTTATTTATGTGTTTTCTGTTCTGTGTTTGTGCTTTCAACTTCGTTAATGTTTCCAATTCTTTTTTTGTGTTTCCTATTCTGTTTTTGTGTGTCCTTTTCTGTTCTTTTTTTTCTTATTCTGTTTTGCGTTTTCGTTCCTTATTCTGTTTTTGTGTTTCCTTTTCTGTTTTTTGTGTTTCCTATTCTAATTAATGTGCTTCTTTTTCTTCAGCCCACCTTCTGGATGATTTACCTGGAATATGTAACAGCATCAATACAAGGTAAATTCAGCCCCACTCCTAGATGATTTACCTGGAATCTGTAACGGCATCAATAAAAAGTAAATCCAGCCTAACTTCAAGATGATTTACTTGGAATCTATAACAGCATAAAAAACAAGGTAAATCCAGCCCAACTTCTAGATGATTTACCTGAAATCTGTAACAGCATCAAAACAAGGTAAATCCAGCCCAACTTCTAGATGATTTACCTGAAATCTGTAACAGCATCAATACAAGATAAATCCAGCCCAATATCTAGATGATTTACCTGGAATCTGTAACAGCATCAAAACAAGGTAAATCCAGCACAACTTCTAGATCATTTGCCTGGAATCTGTAACATCATCAACACAAGGTAAATTCAGCCCAACTTCTAGATGATTTACCTGGAATCTGTAACATCATCAATACAAGGTAAATCCAGCCCAACTTCTAGGTGATTTACCTGGAATATGTTATAGCGTCAATAAAAGGTAAATCCAGCCCAACTTCTAGATGATTTACCTGGAATCTGTAACAGCATCAATACAAGGTAAATTCAGCCCAACTTCTAGATGATTTTCCTGGAATATGTTATAGCGTCAATACAAGGTAAATCCAGCCCACCTTCTGGATGATTTACCTGGAATATGTTACAAGGTAAATCCAGCCCAACTTTGAGATGATTTACCTGGAATCTGTAACAGCATCAATACAAGGTAAATCCAGCCCAACTTCTAGATGATTTACCTGGAATCTGTAACAGCATCAATACAAGGTAAATCCAGCCCAACTTCTAGATGATTTACCTGGAATATGTTATAGCGTCAATTAAAGGTAAATCCAGCCCACCTTCTAGATTATTTACCTGGAATCTGTCACATCATCAATGCAAGCCCAACTTCTAGATCATTTGCCAGGAATCTGTAGCAGCATCAAGTCCAACTTAGACAACCCTGTAATATTAATCATTTTGAAAACAACGTCTTATTGTAGGGAGGTTTTGCAGACAATAGATGAATACTCTTTCTATAAAGGTAAAAATTAAGTACATATGAAATTTTAGAAATTTTTGATTAAAAAAAGATATTTTAGTTGAAACAGTCCGAAAAGATCCAAACTTATCATTAGGTAACATCATTGAATATCAATATCATTAGGTAACATCATTGAATATCAATATCATTAGGTAACATCATTGAATATCAATATTTTAAATTTACGCCAAACTTTTCTTAGGTAAAACAAAATCATAATTTTAACTAATATGATTTTTGGAAAAAAAGTTGAATGACCTAATTCTTGCCATTCATTAACTCTGACCTCTAAGAGCATTGAAAATCGATTTCAGATTGCAAAATCCAATTTTCCTGAATCATGCTATCATAATTATAATTTTAGTTATTAAACTAAAGATCAATTACGTTACTTCCCTTTAAGTTTGGCCGAAAACGTGTAAAAGAGAATTGCTTGAACTACCATTACTTAATTCAACTTCTTCTCTCTCTTTATAATATTTTACACCAACTTGGTTGTTTATTCTAAATACCTTTTTAATTAAAACCTATCCTGTTAGTGTTTGGGCTATTTTTTCTTGTTGGTAAAGGGGAAGTGAGAGTTGATATAAGGATGTGATATACAATTCACACTAAACTAAGTTAGTGGGGTACGCCTTTGATAGGCCGGTGTCCTGCATGGAGTGGACTCTTGCATGGGGCGGACTCAACCCCTAAAGTTTCAGTTTCAATGATAGATATAAAAAGCAATGTTAAAACATTAGAAATTATTGGTTAACATATATTATATACGCATTTAGTTCTTATATTTATTTTAAAGGAGGTAATAGCAAAAGAGGTTTTTACCTCTTAATTAATGTCGTCTTCCTTTCAAATCATCTAACATTTAATATTTACTCGAGACATAGATAATTTTTAGTTGTGTTTTTTAAATCAAAATACATTAATAAATATCGGAAAATGTCATAAAATTTCTTTTTATGTCATGATTGGGTTGATTTGGTTAAAATTTTAAGGGGAGTCCGCCCCATGAAAGAGTCCGCTCCATGCACGACACCGGGTACTTTAAAAAGTCTGGCCGCGCCAACAAAGTTGAAACCCGTCGGCACAGGATAGGGCCAGGCCGGTACTTGTCGTGCGTCAATATTGCCGGTACATGGGGTCGGTCCGGTTTGAATTCGAATCGACCCAGTCCACCAAGATGGCTATCTTTTCATTTTTCAAGTCAAGGACAATATTTTCCAGAGTGTCGGCTGAGACTCTTGAGATCAGGAGGATATTCTTCTGAAAATATGTCTGCTTTCTTGGAAACCAATCATTCAGGTACGTATACACGGTAAACTAAACAGAGCTTAATATGCCTGCTTTCTTGGAAACCAATCATCCAGGTATGCACGGTAAACTAAACAGAGCTTAATATGCCTGCTTTCTTGGAAACCAATCATTCAGATATACACGGTAAACTAAACAGAGCTTAATATGTCTGCTTTCTTGGAAACCAATCATTCAGGTATACACGGTAAACTAAACAGAGCTTAATATGCCTGCTTTCTTGGAAACCAATCATTCAGGTATACACGGTAAACTAAACAGAGCTTAATATGCCTGCTTTCTTGGAAACCAATCATCCAGGTATACACGGTAAACTAAACAGAGCTTAATATGCCCGCTTTCTTGGAAACCAATCATTCAGGTATATAGGGCAAACTAAACATAGCTTAATATGCCTGCTTTCTTGGAAACTAATCATCCAGGTATACACGGTAAACTAAACAGAGCTTAATATGCCCGCTTTCTTGGGCACTATCCATTAAGGTAAAGATGGTAAACAAAAGCAGTAATTGATTTGCCCACTTTCCTTAACACTAATTTCATCCTGGTATACACTGTAAACTAAACAGGTCTTGTTATACCCACTTACATTGACACTAATCAACCTGGTATACGCAGTAAACTAAACAGTTCTTGTTATACCCACTTACATTAACACTAATCAACCTGGTATACACAGTAAACTAAACAGTGCTTGATATGCCCACTTACATTGACACTAATCAACCTGGTATACACTGTAAACTAAACATGGCTTAATATGCCGACTTTCCTTGACACTAATCAACCTGGTATACACTGTAAACTAAACAGTGCTTGATATACCCACTTTCCTTGATACTAGTTATATTTAAGATAAACACGGTAAACTAAACTAAACTAAACTAAAAAATATTTGAAAACAAATATTTTATTTTTTAGCCTATATTACTTACGGGATACCGCTGGATTCCCTCAAAAAAATTCAGCCTATCAGTATTCGGTCCAACCATTTGACGGGCTATAGGGAACATGTATGCATACAAATGTCTTGTTTTATAATATGAATTAAAAAATGTTTGCAAAAAATGTTCGATGACCTTTTATTGCTACTACTTTTATTACTTTCAGGGCGCTTCGCGCCCATCTTCTATTGTAATTGTACATATTTTCTCTTGGTGCACATTGTAAAAAAAAAATTTCGTGAATTTTCAAAATTTTACTGAAATAAATTTTTTTGGGGGGCTAATTTTTTAAATTTTGATCATTTATGACCCTGCCCTGTGGTTTTGTGAGGTCCCACAAAAAGTTTGGGCTGGATCGGTTCAGCCGTTTTGACGTTTATTGGATACAAACATACTGACACGCAAAGTATATATATGATAAATAAACCTATACTGAAGATGTATTAGTAATAATTTAGTGATACTCAACAAAGAAACCTGAAACCCTTAAAATTTCACAATCTCAAGGTTAAATTCTTTTTTCATGCTTTGAATGCCTTGTATTAAGTACAATATTATTATTAATAAAAGTGATAATAAAGTGCTTATCTTTCAGTAAAATTAATGCAATTTTTTGTGCTTTATGCTGCTCTTCCACTTTTTCATTTAATCTTGGAAACCATTTCAACTAATGGGAGAAAATGTTGCCTTCCTTTTTATATTTGACACTTGTGACGTCGTGTATATGGGATACCTCTGGGTTCCCTCAAAAAATGTCAGCCTTTTAGTATTCGGTCCAGGACTGGCTATTGTGAACATTTATAAGAATGTCTTGTTTTACTATATAAATTTAAAAATGTTTGCAAATAAATGTTATATGACCTTTTTTTAACTACTAGGCTTTCAGGGAGCTTCGCGCCCATCTTCTATTTTAATTGTAAATATTTACTCGTGGTGCAAATTGTAAAAAAAAGAAAAAAATCGTGAATTTTCAAAATTTTACGAAATAAATTATTTCTTGAGGCTAATATTTTTGATTTCGATCATTCATGAACCTTTTTTGGGGTCTTGTGAGGTCCCACACAAAGTTTGGGCTGGATCTGTTCAGCCGTTTTGCCATTTATTGGATACACACAAACAGAAACACAAAGTATATATATGATAGATATACCTATACTTCAGTTGTATTTGTAATAATCTAGTGTTACTCAATAAGGATAAAACTGTAAAGACAACCTGAAACTCTTAAAATTTCACGATCTCAAGGTTAAATACTTTTTCATGCCTTGAATACAGTCCTTCAGTTTGGACTCGTTTAATGATAGGGAAAAGAAAAAAAGTTGTAGGGCATCTTAAATATAAGGAAACAGACAATATAATGCATTAAAATTGTCCTCTGAACTATCATCCTTTGTAACACAATAAAATCTTTTTTTAGAGTTTCTGATAATAAACTGCACTAAACCAGAACTGGAAGCTTGGACAAAACTTATAGAGTTTAGGTGAAATTTTATTCTAATTGACTGAGGACAAAGGTAATGTGTTTTCAATCCCTGTTTCACACTCTGTTTAAAATATACTATTTCATCGTTACACCAGTCAGTGTATGCATTCTCCCCATTGGTATAGTACTAGATAGGGCTGGGCAAAGTTCCGTTAACGAAACGGAGGTTTTCCAAAATAAACGGAAGAGTCCGTTAACGAATCCATTACTTTTTAAATCGTTAACAAAACGGATAAGCCGTTCTTGAAAAAAAATTAACGGTTAAAACGTTAACTAAAAAGCTAAAAAACAGTAAATTTTGTTATTTTCTGATTAAAATTGCATGATTTTTAAAAGAATTTTAAATCTAACGCGTTTTGTGGTTTTTAATGTCGTCTTCTGTGTTTATAAACCGTTGATTAAATTAGTTTTTCCGTTAACGCCGTTAATACTGTAATATACCATTAATGGCTCTGTGCCGTTAGCGATTTTTTGAAGGTTTACTGTTAACGTTAATTTTGTGATGACAGTACCATTTACGGCTAAAGCCTTTAACGATTGTTGTAAATTTTCCATTAACGCCGTTAATAAAATTGAGATTGTTAACTAACGGTAATTTAAATAAAAACGGAAGATGCCGTTAACGGAAAGAACTTTCCGTTCTTACCTTTAAAATTAACAGCTAACTGAAATTTTATTTCAACGGTTGGAACTAACCGTTAACGAAACGGATAGAAAAAATTGGAAATTCCCCGGCCCTAGTACTAGATAGTGAGGGTGCATACACTCGCATACTTTTCATGATAATAATCTAAAAGACATGTTATCTGTTGTGAAGACCGGAGATGATGAATGATCAGAAGGTGGTGTGGAGGAGTAAAGATGCTGGAAACCTAGAAACTATTCTACCAAACCTATTCAAGGCTTTGATCAAATCTTCTCTTACTTCACTCACCATTCAGATAGGTACAAGCTTAAAGGGACTGTAAACGTAATTTCAAGTTAACCTCCATATATAGAGGGGCGTGCCAAATTCCCAAAGTACCCTTTAAATCCAAAAATTTGATTATTTTAAATTGTGGATTCTCCTTCTCCATAGAAGTAACTAACGGGGTTGTAAAGCAGAGACGACCATGCTAAGGAATTGAGTATTTGCAACTAACTCAAACTTTATAATCCTTGTATATTTGCAATCTGTTGGTGTAAACCTTTTATATTTCAAACCTAAATTATTTTATACGCGACATTGAGTTGCAATGATAAAATGATTTAAAAGCTGAGTTTGTGGCATTAAGATTCAATTCCTTTTTAGAATTCCACAAATTTCAATATTAAACAACAACTACATCCTTCAGATAAACATTCAAAGAGTGCCGTTGTGAATCGGACCTGCCATGCACTTTTTTGCAAAGGGTCACTTAAAATACTTTTACAGTCTCTTGAAATGACCTCTTTGATAAAAAACATGATATTTAAAATATAAACATCTTGTTTTAGATCTTACAACGCCAATGGACAATTCCTCCTGCGATGTTACTGGTAACAACAAAGAAATTGAGTTTTTTCCACAATTTCAAGCTTTCTGACCCCAATATATTTACAATTGATGGTGCAAACCTTTGATATTTCAAAATTAGGCTATCTGATCTGAAATAATTCATAGTTTAAATATCAAAGGTCTACAACATCGAATTGCAAAGATATAAATATTAAAAAGTTTAAGTTTGTGGCAAAAACTCATTTTTTTGTTGACAAAAAAATTAATCGACTTGGAAACGTTAATCCTATTCCTTCGGAGCTGGTTTTTTTTACTTAATAACTGTTGGGCTAGTTTTATTTGATTTTGTTCAACCATTTTGTCAAATTTTACAAGTGAATATTAAAATTTGCATTATTTGGCATATTATTGCACCAAATGGTTTTCAAAACTGTTCACAAGAAGAATATTTAATTATTTTGGGCAATGTAGGGGTCGTTAGGAATTAAACGCATTTGTTGAATTAACAGTCTCATTCAATGATAGAGGAACTGAGATACTTTTGTCAGCTGATTCCTCAGCTAGCGGAGAAGTTGACCCATCTAGATATATCAGTGGAGGGGTCAGCAGTTCTCTTCCCAGTAGTCGACAATGTTACCAAGGAAGTTTTGAATTTAATTAGTGTACTGCTCAGAGATGAATGTACTGGCTAGTGATGCTTGTACTGTACAGTGTTAATTGTCGTCTTCTCTTACAATTAAAAGGAGAGCATTCCCGATTGACAATGTTACTGTTTAAACCTTTATCTGGTCAATAATGTGTTTTAATTAGAAAAGTTATAAATTCTGAATCAGATATCCACCAGAAACAACTGTAAATAATCAAGTTTGAACAAGAAAATGATGGATAGCTAGCCATACATTCTCGATCAGATAAAGCCATTGAAGGTACCCATGTTAATCGGTCACTTTAGGTTAAATTTCATTGAACAAACTTTCAACATACTTTTTTTTTATAATTTTAATTTTAACAAGATTCTATAAATGATCAGAAGCAGCTGCTGGTATTTTGCAATTTTTTCAAATCTCCATTTTCGTGTTCTTGTTGTTGCATCAACGATTATATTCGGCTGATTTGAAAAAAGAAAGAACATTTTTTTATTCATGAAACAAATGATGTAATGTATTATCAAATAGCATAACAAACAAATTGTACAAAGCATTTTTACAATGATCATTTACTGTTTATCATGAAAAAAACATTTTCCCAATATTTTTCCTGTAATTTATATTTATATTTATCCCATCATAGCAGATTTTGAAAATTTCACAATCTTTCAAAGTGCTGACAAAAAAGTATTTCTTTACATTTTTTTTTTTTAAATACAGGGTGTCCCACGAAACATGACAGTTGGTGAGTAGTTTAAAATGTCTTCTTCCATAATTTGATACGTTTTTTGATACTTAAGAGACAGATAACATTTTTATATGTCGACAGTTATATTATTATAGTAAAATGGATTTCACGGTGAAATATATATGAGTTAAACATTTTTTTAAAAGATATAACTGCAAAAAGTCTTTAATTTCTAATACAGCATGTGGAAGAAGACATTCAAAACTATTCACAAACTGCCATGTTTCGTGGGACACCCTGTACTTGGTTTATCAAAACTTTCATTTTATAGTTTGCTCTGAGCGCCTCTAATTTGGAGAGGTAAGAATAAAATAAAAAATAAAAATACAAAAATATTGCACTTTATGATTTTAGTTTAAGCCTAAACATGGATCTTGGCTCATCTTCTTTATCAATGATAACCAGTGCCCTTGTAACCTTACCCTCACTCAAGTCATTGACCTTAAAACAGGTTTCTGCAGGTATAAACAATTATAAAAATCACTTCTTATTACTAAGGATGAATCTATGCCTTCAAAATTTATAATTCTGATTGCACCTGCAAATTTGAAGCAACTTAAAAAAAACAAATTGAATAGCAACTTATTCAGGAATTAGTGAATTCAATAATCACAGATCATGTGGTCAATTTTTCTTCTATGTTTCGAGAAAAATAAAATTACTTTAATTACTACCAAGAAATTAACACCTACGTCTTAAAGTAAAAACATTATTCTCCATGCGTTAAAGGAACTGTCAACGTAAGTTCTAGTGACATGATGACGATATTTTGAACATTTTTAATTGTGATTTCCGTTAAGGATTTATGAAATAAGAAACAAGGGAATTATGAAAGCAATTATATAGATAAAAGAACAAGGGAATTATAAAAACAATTATATAGATAAAAACAATGGAATTATTAAAGCAATTATATAGATAAAAACAAGGAAATTATTAAAGCAATTATATAGATAAAAACAAGGGAATTATAAAAGCAATTATATAGATAAAAACAAGGGAATTATTAAAGCAATTATATAGATAAAACAAGGGAATTATTAAAGCAATTATATAGATAAAAACAAGGGAATTATTAAAGCAATTATATAGATAAAAACAAGGGAATTATTAAAGGAATTTTATAGATAAAAGAACAAGGGAATTATTAAAGGAATTATATAGATAAAGTAACAAGGGAATTATTAAAGGAATTATATAGATAAAATAACAAGATAATTATTAAAGCAATTATATAGATAAAAGAACAAGGGAATTATTAAAGGAATTATATAGATAAAAGAACAAGGGAATTATTAAAGGAATTATATAGATAAAATAACAAGGGAATTATAAAACCAATTATATAGATTAAAAAACAAGGGAATTATAAAAGCAATTACATAGATAAATAAACGACGATGTCTTCTTTATAAATGCTGAGATTGAGGTGTAAAAAACACCACTTTAAATGGCGCGTGAAGCTTTTTATGGATAGGATTAGGAGTTGATCGAGACCCATGAGAGTTCTATCTGATGTTCCTGTCTCGTAAAATTGATATAAAACTGTGTCAAATTTAAACAAAAGTCGGTATATATACCAAATTTTGTATAACAATAGTACCCTCTCAAGGGTTTCGATTAACTCCTATGTAACTTAGGTTTCAGCCTTTACCCCTTTTCAATTTTCCTATACAGTCCCTTTAACTTAGTTTTTAAGAAGTAATTGGCAAAACTATCATCAATGTTTGCATGAGAGCTTGTAACCTTGTTTTCCAGGTAAAATCAAGCCCAGGATTTGGTTCAGATCTGCATGAGACTGATCAGTATGTTTATGAAGAAGAAGGAACAACTGTATCCGAACAAGAGTTTGAAAACATATCAGGGACCAGATTTAATGAATTGAAGGAGTAGTTGAACTATTTAGGTTAAATTGAACCACTTCACTTCACATGGACCTGGGACCAAATTTGATAAATTTTAGCTACGCAGCTGAAATACCAAGTACCAATTTGCTTCAATTTAAAGTTATTGAGCCAGGAAGGATTTGAATAGGTGACACAAATTTGAACCGGTGGCGGAGGGCAGTTCAGCGACCTCTTAACTTCATTTAGTTTAGTCCCTGGCGCACAAGAAATATGGTTGAACCAGCAGTATGTGGTTCAACTACTTCTCTTGTATTCATTAAATCTGGTCTAAGAATCAGTAAGGTAGGATTTCCAAATAAAATTTAAAAAATTAAAAGAAATTTTTATGTTATATTTTAGTGAGATATTTGCTAAAGCTCTTGGCGTAAGTCTTGAAGTATCAATGAACTCTGCAGGGTTCCCTGGATTTGCTCTGGGAGGAGGTTTCTATCCTCTCCCGACCTGCTCCGGGGGCACCTCTGGAGTTCACTATCTCAGGTAAACTCTAGATAAATCATCAATTTAATATCTTCTCCAGTTAAAAGACTTGCAAGCACCAATTCACTATTGTACAATGTTCATAATTGTACCAATATAAAAGTTGGCTTTTTAAGCGAAACTTTTCTCAATGCCTAGACATGAAGTGAAAGGTTTGAATTACAAAATTATTATTTTTATTTAAAAATTTGCGAAAAGATATCCGTTCGTTATTTTCATTACGTTTTTTTTAACGGATCTATCCTTTCGATTTTAAATTAAGACAGTCTATGATCTTAAACGAATTTAAAGTTTTCGGAGTTCACTCATTAAATTAACTTTTTTTGTCAAAATTTCAGCACTTTGGTTCGTAAACAATTTTTGCCCAGCTCCGTTTAAAAGTTTTTTTTTTGATATCTGAAAATCTGTTTCAGATAAAATGGTCAAACTTCTTGACTTTTCCAACTTCATAATTAAAAACACATTTTGAAAATTCATTTTTTTCTAATGCATAAGAAGAAAGAGTAAAAGACCAATTTGGTTAAAAATTTAAAATAGAACCCAAGACTTTTTTGTTATTTAAAATACAGATCTCAAATTCACTTACTTGAAAACCCCTTAAAAATTGAATGTAGGTGTTACACGTTGATACTGACAGTGACAGCTCGATACATTTTGAAACATTTGAAAATCAGGGGGGAGAGTTTTAAAATAAAATATCCCAATCAGAACAGGGTCAATTGGTTTAAAAAACTAATTTTAGTTGTTTAGTGAGTATTTGAATGAAAGAAGATGTGGTTTGAATTCTCTTAGTCTCAATCTGACCACACTAAATGAAGTGCTTTGTCTCAGGTTGGAAAATAAAATATAAAAATAAAAATAAAAATAAATAAAATATAAAAATACAGATTAATTTAATCTTTATTCAATATCCCGTGAAGCGCGGGAAACGAACAGCCAATCAGAGGCTGCAATGCATTTTTTTAACCAATTATAAAAGAGAGAAATAGAGATATCCAAATTAAACAGATCAAGCTGATTCTCCATAAAATTCATAAGTGACCACTGCGGACATCGGTATCAAGATAATTCAAAAGTTACAAGCTCTGAAAACTGAGTCTAAAACTAAGAAATGCTTAAAGTTCTTTAGAAAATAAATTAAGGGTTAAATTTAAATTTGTCCCGGACTATTTATACTCAAGTGCCGAGGTTTTTTTTTGAAAACCGGAACATTTCCTATAGAATCATGACTGATTAATTATGAAAATGATGAGAAAACTGGGGGGATTTTCCATCAGGTTCAAAATTTAGGCTTTGTTTTAAGTTAAAGTTGAGTTTAAGTCACAAGTGGCATTCATGCAGAGATTTCACCTTTAAGTTGTAACTTTGTGTTCTTTAGTTTTAGACTCGTGATCTTATCTTGATCTTATATCAATGTAATCTGATGTCGCACACTTTTGAAATTTTTAATTTTAAATTCTCTTAGACCAAATAACCAAAGTTTAGATATCAAAGATTGGGATTAAGAAATTTGAGTTTGTTACGAGTGATGAGTTTCTTATTACTGACAAAAAGTTAACCTTTCTTATCTTTTGTTTTTGGTAGTGGATCCCTGCTTAGAAACCATTCCTTGAAGACCTTGATGTTAAACAGTTCAGGAACCGAATTTAATGAATACGAACTACTTCGCTGAACTACCTCCTGCCAGTTCAAATTTGAACCACCTATTCAAAGTTAACGATTAAGGAAGAATTTTATTCAGTGATTCAGATTTTAACTGACAATGGACAGTTCAAAATCATTGAATTCGGTCTCAGAATTCTTAGAGTCCGAGGACACTTATATTTCCTTTCCGCTCTTGATGGCCATTTCAACGAATGTTGGTAAGTTGAAATTTTGAAAATGAAATTTTCTAATTAACATGCAAAGAAAAATATTGAAATCTTCAAATATTTTGAACAAACTTAATGCATTTTATCTTTTTTCTGAAATTTTCTAAAAGTGTTTAGCATGTTATGCAATGTCAAAATTGATGAAGATATAACAAAATTCGCCCCAATTTTAATACTTGTACTATACAATTTCAACTTTCTTATTTGAATTCTGTTTTAAAATGCGACTCATGACAGTAGAGAAACCGAGAAAGACAAAAATTAAAGATGACATTTTTTACAATTTTACAATTTTTTTTCTTTTTATAAGTTTCTAAAATATGTATACTCCTAATTTGATTTATTTTAATTCGAAATTTCGTTTTTTAACATGTTTTTAAAATTCTTGTTATAATTATTTTTCTTGTTATCTTCTTGCTATTTTCTTGTTATCTTCTTGTTATCTTCTTGTTATCTTCTTGTTATCTTCTTGCTATCTTCTTGTTATCTTCTTTTTATCTTCTTGTTATCTTCTTGTTACCTTCTTGTTATCTTCTTGTTATCTTCTTGCTATCTTCTTGTTATCTTCTTGCTATCTTCTTGCTATCTTCTTGTTATCTTCTTGTTATCTTCTTGTTATCTTCTTGTTATCTTCTTGTTATCTTCTTGTTATCTTCTTGCTATCTTCTTGTTATCTTCTTGTTATCTTCTTGTTATCTTCTTGTTATCTTCTTGTTATCTTTTTGTTATCTTCTTGTTATTTACCGTCCCTTTCGGCAATTAGGATTTCCGGGTCTTTCTTCAACTCAACTGGTCCTGTTGAAATAAGTTAAAATAAATATCAAGTTTTGTTTGTTTGAGAAAAAAATATCCTTTGACCACGCACCTTTGCCCCTTTAGTAAAAGTAAATTCAACCTTTATGAAGCATAAAGTCTGACCGCGTCAACCTTGTTGCACCAGCTAGTCCAGTCCATAAACCTAGGTACAGTACAAACTTGGACCGGAAAGGTTAACCCGGCTCGGAAATTCAATTGTACTGCGGTGACATTAATGTTTTCAGGTCTATCAGAACTTGATTTGTCAGGAATGAAACTAAGCATGAGTTCTGATGAAGTTAGGTAAAATCTGCACATTAAGCGAAATGGTTGCACACAGTGGTCCAAAGATTTCAAAACTTTCACAAAAATATATGATAATTTTGCTTTTCATTTAAAACTTAAAGCTTAACAATGCTTGCAAAATTGTGTTTACGTATTCATTTTTTAATTCAAATTTTAAGAATATTTTATAAATGATTAGATAAAAGTAGAAGCAATTATTTTAACATTGCTATATTTATTTTCTCCACTTTCTTCTTGCAAACTTATTTTTACTATAACACTGGGTTTTGAAAAAACAATCGAAATTTTTTTTATTTTTTTTGCAATTTCTATAAAAATTAACACGAGGTTTTCATAAATGTATAGATTTACTTGGAATATCCTCAGTTAAAAATATAAAAAAAGTTGTTTGACTTTTACGTTTCTTAAAATCTATTTTAAATTTATTGAAATGTTTTAGTTTAGCTCTGTACGCTCTCTCCTCTAACACAGCACTCAGGTTCATAAATCTTTATTTGACAAGTTTCTAATAAACAACAGGAAACCAGTGTCAGAAATCTTTATTTGACTAGTTTCTAATAAACAACAGGAAACCAGTGTCAGAAATCTTTATTTGACATGTTTCTAATAAACAACAGGAAACCAGTGTCAGAAATCTTTATTTGACAAGTTTCTAATAAACAACAGGAAACCAGTGTCAGAAATCTTTATTTGACAAGTTTCTAATAAACAACAGGAAACCAGTGTCAGAAATCTTTATTTGACAAGTTTCTAATAAACAACAGGAAACCAGTGTCAGAAATCTTTATTTGACAAGTTTCTAATAAACAACAGGAAACCAGTGTCAGAAATCTTTATTTGACNTTAGCACAAACTTAGATATTTTAATCCTTATACTTTGCAACCCGATGTTTTAAACTATATTTCAAACATGAATCATTTTAGTTTAATAATCTAAGTTTGAAATATCATGGGTTTACATCATCAGGTTGCACAGATATAGGGGTTACATCATCAGGTTGCACAGATATAGGTTTTACATCATCAGGTTGCACAGATATAGGGTTTACATCATCAGGTTGCAGATATAGGGTTACATCATCAGGTTGCAGATATAGCGTTTACATCATCAGGTTGCAAAGATATAGGGGTTAGAAAATGTGAGTTTGTTGCAAGAACTCAGTTTCTTTGCTTACATGTTGTTTTTCTAAGATGAACAACAAATTTGTGTTTGCTTTTTCAAAATATTCATAAAGTTAACATTTTCTTCTTTCTTGTGAGTGTTCCCTTATTAAAAGTACTCATAATACTTTCATTTTTGAGACTAAACAACGAAGTTTATCTTGCCACTCCGGAAATGTGAAAATTTCATAGATCCTATTTACTCTTTTTATTTTAAGTTAAATAGGATTAGTTGTAATCCGAAACTTAAAAAATATGGTATTAGGATAATTTTTATATTATATAACTTTCTAACATTGTCGCTGACTTCCCTAATTTCCTGAATTTAGGTTTACAATATTTTCCATGCTAGTTCTAGAGTGTTAAAATTAACTATTGTAAACAATTGTGATTTATAGAATGAAACGAATTTACTGCAAAATGAAAACCTTTTAGCCCCATCCTAATTTCTTTGGGGAATTTGTCCAAACACATAAAACATGAATTTATGTTTGCTGCAATAAATAAATTTACCCTATTCTGCTGTTATGGCCGGGTTTATTTATCATGTGATTATGTTACATTACTTTCTTCGAAACAATCTCAAAAGGCAAAATTTATCAAAATGTGGGATACGCTATGCAGTATGTTTAAAGGGACTGTATATGTAAATGCATTTCATGCTCATCCTGAATAAAGCAAGGTAAAAACACAAGAATCAGCAAGCTTATCCTGAATAAAGCAAGGTAAATAAACACAAGAATAAGCAGGCTTATCTTGAATAAAGCAAGGTAAAAATACGAGAATCAGAAAACTTATCCAGAATAAAGCAAGGTAAAAATACGAGAATCAGCAAGCTTATCTTGAATAAAGCAAGGTAAATAAACACAAGAATAAGGAGGCTTATCCTGAATAATGCAAGTCAAAAACACGAGAATCAGCAAGATTATCCTGAATAAAGCAAGGTAAAAACACGAGAATCAGCAAGCTTATCCAGAATAAAGCAAGGTAAAAACACGAGAATCAGCAAGCTTATCCTGAATAAAGCAAGGTAAAAACACAAGAATCAGCAAGCTTATCCTGAATAAAGCAAGGTAAAAACACGATAATCAGCAAAATTATTCTGAAAAAAATCATGGAGATGAAGTTAAATAAAACAAAGAAGGGCCAAAAAAACAATTTTTCAAACAAATAAGAAAAAGGAATCTGATGATAATATAATTTTGTTTGTAAGTCGACTTATTGAATACACAATTTATAGGAGATAAGTACTAAACAATAAACTGCGGAGTTGGTTAGGTTAGGTTAGGTTAGGTTTTGCAATTTACCCCTACCTCCACTTTTAACAATTGAACATTTGAACAGTAATTGTTTTGAATCTTTATAACAGAAACAAATCTCAAGAAATTTGATAATTGTCTAATTTTTTTTAAAGAAAAAAATTGAGCAACTAATCATATCCAGTTTCTATAAAAATAAAAATCAAGATTTTAAAATTTTCTTGTTAAAGTGTGAAAATGGCGTGCACAGAGAGACAGTTCACTTTGTACTTTGAATCTAGTGAAGACGACATTTGTACAAGTCTTTGGTCAGATATTCACAACGAAAAGGTTGTTTCTTCTACACTGAAGAACTTGCTTCTTGGCGGATTCCAGGTAATATTATGTTTTTTTAACAGATTATATCAATTGTATATCAACTGTTTGATGTTTTAGTTGTTTTGTAATCAGAAGTCATTGAAAGTTTATCATGAACTTTGCAACTTTCAGCTGCCAGCTTTGAAGCTGTTGGACTTGTCTGTCCCGGACTGTAATAGGTACTATTTAAAAATCATCAAATTACCTGACATGGTTTAAAATCTACTGTTAAACCCAATAACTTTAGCAAAAATGTTATCATCAATCGTTTGTGTTTTAATTTATGTATTGATTAATATACTACTACAGGGTATCCCAATAAACATGAGTTACGAATTCAATAACGTGGATTTAACGGTTCTGTCAATATTCCAGAAAGTTAGGACTTTCGATCACAATTTCTCCTATTAAACATAATTTTACAGCTTTTTTTCTTAAATACTTTTTTGCCGGCATATACGTTTTAAATAAAAAGTATCAAACAAACAAATCCGTTATTTTAAAGATAGTTAAAATATAAATCAAAACGCGTATGATTTCAAATAGAAGAAACCGAATGCCTCTAACTCTGGTTAGTCCGGGGTGCAATATTGGCTTTTATAATGATTTTTGATTTAGTATTGTGATACGCATTAAGAAAACTGTAATCCGTCTGCTAGAGTTTAGAATTTGTTTGTTTATGTTTTGATTGCTTTCTGTATACATGAAAACTAAGTAAACTTGTCCGTCTGTTTATCTTGCATGTAATAAATATCCCCGAGTACTATATCAGGTCAACCTGNAGTCGTATCCGAATTGATATTGACTAAAGTATTATTGAACGGAATAGTTCTTGATTGAGTTAATATCTTGCAAGACAGATACCAAAGAATACTGATAGAGTCGTATCCGAATGGATATTGACTAAAGTATTATTGAACGGAATAGTTCTTGATTGAGTTAATATCTTGTAAGACAGATACCAAAGGATACAGAAGGATATACCTGAATTGGTACCGATCTAAAAGACTTTGATGGAGTAGGGCATTTACTACAAAGGCTGAATAAAGTTTATTTGCAAAATTTCTTTTCTTTTTTCTTTTTTTTACTTTTAAGTTGAAATGCTTTAGTTGAAAGGGTTTCAATGTTTGGAAATATTTGCAGAATTCTTAAATTTTAAAAATTGTTTAGTTTCAACTAATGTTTATTATGTTTAGTGAATATGATGCAAGAACATCGGTCTACCCTTCATCAATAGTATTATTTCTAGGCAATCTATCTGAACAATATTTATAAAATTATCATACAGGAATAATTTTTTCCATGAAAAATTACAACTTTTTAATGATTTTTTTAGTGAGTTTTAATAGGGATCGACTGTAAGCTTTTTGAATCAAGCAAAGATGGATTTACAACGGTATTCTAGAAAGCTTTGGTTGCTCAAGTATGAATTAGAAAAAACAAGTTTTTGCTTTTTAAACTGTTTATTTTAATTTTTGTTATTACAAAATGAATTTATTATGTAGTATATTACAAAATGTATTTGTTATGTAGTATATTACAAGATGTATTTGTTATGTAGTATATTACAAAATGTATTCATTATGTAGTATATTACAAGATGTATTTGTTATGTAGTATATTACAAGATGTATTTGTTATGTAGTATATTACAAGATGTATTTGTTATGTAGTATATTGCAAAATATATTTATCATGTAGTATATAAAAAAACGAATTTATTATGTAGTATATTACAAAATGAAATTATTATGTAGTATATTACAAAATGTATTTATTATGTAATATATTACAAAATGTATTTATTATGTAGTATAGTACAAAATGTATTTGTTATGTAGTATATTACAAAATGAAATTGCTATGTAGTATATTACAAAGACGAAAACATTTTTGTCTTTCTTTTAAATATTAGATTGTTTTGATAGGAATAATAATATTTAGCATTTTTGAACCGGTTTTATCTATAAATGAATCTTAGTCTAACTCACACTTAAAGGACTGTAAACCTATTTTTAAAGACCCATTATTTAATAGTTGGAATTTCCGATGCACAACAATACTCTGAATAGCTTTGTATAATCAAGAATTAATTAGATATCCAATTTTTTACTTTGAAAATTGGTTACTTTCATTCCGGGTTTCTCTGTAAAAGCAAACAATAGAAAAAATTATCTATAACTCAACAGTTAACACATACTTCTTCTCTTCCCTTTTGTATTAGATGCTGGAAGGTCAATTGAAATTAGATTTATATAGTTTAGAAGTACTTGTTTAGTTTTATAGACGTGTTTAAGCAGATTTAATGGCGTCTTCTAAAAGAGTTACGATGTAGTTTGCCTGTAATTAAACAGATAAATGAAAGTATAGACCTGGTTTCAGCGCTTTCTACAGAATCCGCCAAACATCTAGAAGAACTAAACATTGCAAACTTTTTAATCAGGTAAATAAACATGCATTATCATATTAAGCTATAACTCCACGTATTATAAAAGGTGTTTTAATAAACATGGGAATTAAGAGTCGACTTGAATATCGTCTTTGATTTCAGATAATTGATACATTACATAAAGTGAATCAAAAAAAGATTGAACGTCTTATGAGCCTTCAAAAATGTGGTCCACGTTATTTGTATCTGTAAAATTGACGGAGATTAGTAGTTTTCGGTGTTACATGTTTTAATTGTGACGTTACAAAATTATGTTTACGAAATAATCCTCCATGGAACAAAGACGATTTAGAAATGGTCATTTGATTTCTATGTTTATTGGGAGACCCTGGAGGATAGGCGGCAATCAGATTTAAAAGAAATTATGTATGACCTCATGGTGTTGGTTGAATTTGAAATATCAAATCAAATCATATAATTTTCGGTATTAATTATTATGATAGATAATAACAAAACATTATTACAATAAATATGTAAAACTACCGCACCAGGCTTTGATATCTTTGATAGTTTAGTTTTAACAAAACCCCCTGTAATCCTGAAGATAAATTTTTATTAAAAGGAGTGACCGTCAGTGTATGGTGGGTGAACTGAGATTGCAGTATTGTAAATAAAATTTTTAGAATTTATTTGAAACACATGTTAAACGTTTTTTGGCGTTTTTTCAATCCTTCCCAACACCCTTCTTTTCTTTTTTCTTTTTTTTACTTTTAAGTTGAAATGCTTTAGTTGAAAGGGTTTCAATGTTTGGAAATATTTGCAGAATTCTTAAATTTTAAAAATTGTTTAGTTTCAACTAATGTNGTTTGAGCGCAAAGTCGACGTTCAAAATCATCAATTTGGGTGGGTAAGTTTTGAGAATCGGTTTTTTAATTATTAAATGACGACGTCAAAAAATGTAACAAATTTTATAGTAAACTAATTAGTTGTTAAGGATCAGGTTACGAAAATAGACATTAACTAAAAATTAGAAAATCTATCTTATTTAATTATCATATTATTAATCTCTCATTATTCACAAAGATTTTTTTCAGGTTTCATTGAAAAGACGACATTTGAAGAATTTGTAGAAATGTGCGAACAGACTCATAGAAAATAAGAAATTCAATATGATGATGAAAACAAAATAATTGATTCTAACATTGGTATATAAACATATTTTTTTGAGAAATATGTTCCTAAACATATAATTGGTTTACTATGAATTTAAAAAATATTTTTTGTCGTCGTTATTTAATAATTTATAACGAAAAATTTCTCAAAACCGAAAAACCCAAACTACATTATATATTTTTAAAACTTTTATATGTCTCTAAAGCATCCTAAAAATGTATCTACAATACTACAATCTCAGTTCAACCACCATAAACTGCCGGTCACTCCCATTAAGAAAGTTAAAGATGGCAGTTGGTAGACGATAGGTCGGAATTTGAAAGAAACATAGTTTTAGATTAGATAAAAAACCCTAAACCTTTCTAGATTTTTTTTCTTCATAAAAATACATTAATAATATTTTGAAGAAATGGGTTGGAAATTGAGATGTTTAGGTGCTATTTTTAATGTTTAAAGACATATTAATACATTATATTAGTAATGAAAATATAACATAAATATTTTAGGAACAATGTGTGCAACCAACAAATACTAGAATTGAAGGAGCATATGACAAGGTGTAGTATACAAGATGAAACACTTAACTTAACAATTCAGACACAACTTAAAGGGACTGTTATTGGAATTATAATTTACCTTCAATTTAAAAAGGGGCATACCCGATTTACAACGGTATTCAATATTTCTACAATATTTCTACAATATTTCTACAATATTTCTACAATATTTCTACAATAATTTTGTTCATTATTTAAGGAACTGTAAACTATTTTAAGGAACCCTTTCTGTTTAAACAGTTTCATTATATAATGGACTGTTTACTAATTTAAGGGACCCTTTCTAGTTAAAGAGTTTCATGTCCGATTAACCTTTGTCTACACAAAAACTATTAGGTTGTAGCCTTGTTTTTTAAGTTTTTAGAAAATTGACTGGCAATTTACATAGCAGAGGCAATGAAGGAAATTGTGAGAATTTATACTATTGTTGCGGATATATAAACGAAGATATAAAAATTGTATTTGCGTTTAAAGAGTTACCGTTCTAATACCGCAGTTAATGAATTAAATAGTGGACTAATTGAAACTATGATCCTGTAGAATTCAACCATTTAAATTCTCTAAACAATATGAGGGTAAAATGTTTATAACAAACAATTTCTGCTTATTAAGGAAAAATCTCTCATTCATTCTTTTTCTCTCTTTGTGCATTTAATTAAACAATTCATTTAAAAAAGATAAAAGGTTTTGTGTCAACAATTTAAATGTATGAATGTAAATTTCATTTAAGCTATCCGCCAGCTTTAAACTGGCAAGTCTGATTCACAACGGTGCAATTAAACCCTTTGGGTGACTATTGATGACCGATATATTCTTTTTTTTTCGAGCTGAAAATATAGTGCAGTAAAAAGTGGTTCAATTACTCTGCATGCCAACACAACGACATTACAGCACGTATTGGATTTGAATTAAAGATGTTTAGGTTCTGTGCTTTTTTTCTGGATAAAAAAATAAAATTTTATTAAATGTAAACCAGATTTTATGCAAAGATATTTACATTTACAATTGTTTCTGCAAGTGAAATGAGTGTATTGAATTTTCAAAGAGAACAAAAATTATTTATTCGGCATCCTTGATCAGACAAAGATTCAAACGGGTACTGTTGTTAATCGGATATGCAATACACAACCAAAATCCAGCCGTTTAAATTAAACTAAAAATGAACACAAAATATCTATACATAAAAGCGGCCATGCTCATTAACCATGGCATTCTGTTAAACCTCAGGCAAATAAATGGGATAGAGGGCCTGGTTCAAATCAATCCGAGTATTAACAGGGTTAAAAAGTATTTTTTTTTTAGATTTGTCTGTTTACGGGTTCTTGGGTTAAAGGGAACAAAGTTTACAATTGGGAAGAAACGAGGAGAGACAAGCTCACTCCGAACCCTTCTCTCAGCACAGAAACTCCAGGTAGGTGAACTAGTAGGATATCATTTACTCTGAATCAATCTTGCAGCACAGTAACTATAGAGCCCGCGATTTAAAACCTTCGGCTAGGGTCGTAATTCCTTAAACCCCGCTTTATGACCCAATCTTAGACCTAACTCTAACGACAGCTTGTGTCACGTGATTGACAGCTACGAGATCTTAGGCTCGACTTACGGAGTTAGGCCCAGTGGAGAATAAGGCTCAATGTTGAGTTTTGTACTCATCAAACCCGGAATGCGAAAATTCCAACCATGAAAATCCGCCAAATACGATAATAAACCGGCTTTATGAACTCAACTCTGTTGAAAATTAGATGCTTAACTTAAATTCGAAAGCCTGAGTCGTAAAAAAGGCCCAACAATAGCTTAAACCTGAATCATATTTTCTTGAATTTTTTAAATCGCGGCCTCTGAAAGGATATAATTTACCATTCTTACTACAGGGGGTCAAAAGTAAAGTTTTTTTAAAAGTTATTATAAAATAATTTTTGTTATAAAACGTTTTGTTTAGGAAATAGATCTAAGTTTCACCTTTATCAGCAGAGAAGAAGGAATCAGTCTTGCAAGAACTGTAAAGGACAAGGTGTAGTTTTTATTAATTTGACCTGCAAGACGATACTTACATGACATACTGACCTACATGACATACATGAGCTTTATGACCTACACTATCCTTACATGACCTACATGACATAAATAACCTACGTGACCCACATGACCTACATGACATAAATAACCTACGTTTCATACATTTCATACATGACCTACAAGACTTACAAGACCTATATGACATACATTAACTACATTTACCTATATAACCTACATGACCTAAATGATCTACATGACAGATATGACATACATGACAGACGTGACCTACATGACCTACATGACCTATATGACCTACTTGACCTAAATGACCTACGTGAATTTTAGACCTACATGACATACATGACCTACATGACCTACTTGACCTACATGAACTACTTGACCTACATGACCTTCATGATCTACATGAAATACATGACAAACATGACATGCATGAAATAAATTACCTAAATTAGACATGCATTACCTACATAACATACATTATCTACATGATATATACATGACCTACATGGTATACATGATCTACATGATATACATGACCTACATGACCTGCATGACATATATGACCTATTCGACCTACTTCACCTACACGACCTACATGGCATACATGACCTACATGGCATACATTTCCTGCATGGCATACATGACCTGCATGTCCTACTTGACCTACATTACCTACATGATCTACTTGACCTACAAAACCTACATGACCTACATAAACTACATGACATACATGACCTACTTGACTTACATGACCTGCATGACCTCTTTGACTTCCTGAACTACCCAGACCTAGACCCTGCCTACTTGACTGAAAGGGTTAACAACAGAGTATAAGACATCATACAAGACTACAGAATTAATTTAGTGTTTTTCTTTGCATTGTTTTCTCTTTAAAGCTTTAAACAATCAGAAGAATTGAGTCTTTGCCAAAAACTCTAATTTGTTAATACTTGCAGCTTGATAGTGTAAACCTTTGAAGGCTTCTTTTATGTCAAACTTAGATTATTTGATTTAACAGAATTAAAAGTTTGAAAAATCTATGGTCTATGTCATTGGGTTGTGAAGATAAATCTATTAGAAAATCAGAGTTTGTTGCAAAGACTGAACTAGTTTGGCCAAATTATTAGTAAAACTGGATCTAAAACCAAAGGTCAAATTTAATATTCTAATCGCAGAAGAAAAGAACTTTAGGTCATCAGTAGTAAAGTATTATCCTGGCTAACTGTGTGACCTTATAAAATACAGGTTCCAATTAGTATTCCAGGCTCCCTCAAAGGATGAGACTTCACAGACGACTGTACAGAATTTTTACTATGTGCTCCATGATATTCATAACTTGTTTCTTTCTATACTAAATCATTAAAAAAGTCAACCATAAACTACAGTTAAAAAAGAAAACCTTATTTAACATCGGGATCTTCATTTATATTCAGAGTGTCAAGTCGATTTTACAGTCTCTTCCTTTTTGGGTAACACTGTACTAACATCCCACAAACAAGCTGACCCATCTGTGTTAAGGCTAGAAAGGGAGGTCAAGTGAAGATAAAGATGGAAGGATGTTGCGGGGAAGGAATTTCAAAATTTTTCAAAATTCTTGAATTATCAAAAACTGTTCTATATACTCACAGGTATGAGTATAGATGATCATACTTTTTGCTTCGTTTTAAAAATTCAAGGTTTTTTTGTCTGAAATAAGGATTTAAAAGAACATGAGATTTGTTTATCATATCTTACAAAGTCTGCTTTTATCAAACAGTTCAATAAATTTACTTTTCTATAATTTATATCCTATGATGTTAATACAGAAAATCAAGCCGTTTGGTTAAACCGTTTTGATAAATCGTTTTAATAAACCATTTGATTAATCGTTTTGGGAAATCATTCTAATAATTCATTCAAATGAATTGTTTTTGTAAATAGTTTTCATCAATCGTTTTCATGAATTGTTTTGATAAACCGTTTTAAAAAACCGTTTTGATAACCGTTTTGATGAACNCAATCATTTGCAATACAAAATAAATTTCTGCCAAGAACTGTGTTGAGGTCATTTTTACATAAATTAGAAAGAAATCTAATGCAAAGCTTAGAACTTGCTTCAATAGTCTCATAGAAAGACACACATCTGCTAGCTAACATAGTTTTTACATGTAAACATTGTGAAATACTTTCAATCAAGTACCTATGCGTATCTCTAGGTACATTAAAAAGAATTCTAATAAGAATTCTGTCTCTCAATGCTCATTGAGAGACATGCTCATGCTCGATGTGCATTGCTAGACATGATTATGTTCAAGTCTTATTTCTAGAAATCATGTTCAATGTGCAATGCTGGGTCGCTGTAAGACATGAACATGTACTGGCTTTAAATAAACAGACATAAATAAATAGACATGCATTTATGTTTAATATGTTCAGGTTGAATAAGAATTAATTGTAGACATCAATAAATCTTCACAAATCACACTTTTTTTCTAAAAAATTCTCTTTTCATTATTTTCATTTACTCTTAAAACCTTATCCAGAAAACACTACGAAAAGTTTACCCTACATGAAAAACATCCGTCCAAAAACCAGTCTTGCTAAGACATATTTTTATCAAATCTTTTTCAAAAATATGAAGAACATATTTTCCAAAACTTGAGGGCAAGGTGATGTTCAGAGATTTGTCCAGAGTGAAGAGATATTAAGGAATTACTCTAGAATGAAGGTGTAATGAATATCGTGTATTCCTATATCTGTAAACCTAAACTACGTTGTTCATTATTAATTATCTACGTTTGTAAATAGCTACGTAAAACCTATATCATGGCTGAGTCGTATCCTTATTGATATTGACTATGGTACTTGTGTGAACCTTGAGTTCCTGATTAGATTGTATCTTGTAAGATAGATACCTGAGGATACATACTGAGCCTTATCCGGATTGATATTGGCTCTTGTATTTGTGTGAACCTTGAGTTCCTGATTAGATTGTATATTGTAAGATAGATACCTGAGGATACAGACTGAGTCTTATCCGGATTGATATTGGCTCTTGTATTTGTGTGAACCTTGAGTTCCTGATTAGATTGTATCTTGTAAGATAGATAACTGAGGATACATACTGAGTCATATCCGGATTGATATTAACTATGGTGTTCGTGTGAGTGAGTTCCTAGATTGAGATGAACCAGGATTGATACGGGTTTAAAAGTATTTATCGGAGTAGGGCATTTAATACAAAGGGATGTGAAGGGATTACTTCAGGATGAAGAAATGTGAAGGGGCTCTCCAGGATAATGGGATGTAAAGGGATTTGTGTAGGATGAATGGATGTAAAGGGACTCCAGAGTTAGGGATGTAAAGGGATTTACTCCAGAGAGGATGGATTTAAAGAGATTAGTCTTAAGTAAAGAAATAAGAAAAATTACTCCATGGTCAAGGAATGTGAAGGAATTACCTCAGGGTGAAGGGGTTTAAAGGGATTAGTGCAGGATTAAGGTAATGTGAAGGGATTACTCCAGAGGGAAGGAATGTAAAGGGATCAGTCCAGGGTGAAGGGATGTGATGGGATTACTCTATGGTGAGGGGATGTAAAGGGGTTAGTACAGAGAGTGAAGGGATGAAGGGATGTTTTTGTCTTGGTCTAAACTTCTTCGATTAGTCTTTGTTATCTTAGAACTGTAAAAGTTTAAGGAAAAGTCTTTAAATATACAAGGTTTCTTGGTTTCTTCAGTTTATACAAACTTTATAAAACAATCTAAAAGTGTTTCTTGGAATAGGATTTTAAAGTTAGTGCTTTTTATCAAATAGAGTTAGATAGTTCCACGATATATTATAGCTACAGCTAGGAGGAAATAGATTTAGATAGTTCCACGATATATTATAGCTACAGCTAGGAGGAAATATATTTAGATAGTTCCACGATATATTATAGCTACAGCTAGGAGGAAATAGGTTTAGATAGTTCCACGATATATTATAGCTACAGCTAGGAGGAAATAGAGTTAGATAGTTCCACGATATATTATAGCTACAGCTAGGAGGAAATAGGTTTAGATACATTGTTAACATAACATTTTTACTTTTATACAAATGGAAATATATTTTACATTTTAAGTTTAAGAATTTTCATTTTCTTTTAGTATCGTGGTCTATTTTTTTTTATAAAGAAACTATGCTAAATAAATTCTGTTATTGAAAAAACTACAAAAGGCTTGGTTGTTATTTAAAACAAGTTTTAATTTTTGTTCAAATGACATAAATTATTTTAAAACGTTTCTTGTTTGGTTTCCTACAGGTCTGTTTTTTTACGGCAATAACAATTCTTGCATAATTATATACATGGAAATATTATTATAAAATCTAAATAGTTATTTCATGAAGTTATGCAATTGAAGAATTAAATATTCTAGTAAGATTATCCCTATGACGGAAAAAGGATCTAATTGTCCGTTTTTTCCTCAAAGAAAAATTGGGACTTTGCCAGAAATCAAATTTTCTAATTCTTATAACTTTGCAACCCGATGGTATAAACCTTAAAACTTCATAGTTTGACATTCTTTAGATTTACGAGATTGGGTTGAAAAGATATGGGACTAAGACATCAGAGTTTGTGGCAAAGACTCAGTTCCTTTTCTCAAAAGAGTGTTAAATGATAAAATAAAAAAGATAAAAATAATGCAATAGCAAAAACAAACAAAAAAGCTTTATTTAACACGTGAACATGATTTCTATGACTTTTAACTAGGATCCCGGTCCTAATCTTAACAGACCAGGGGCGGATACAGGATTTAATTGGGGGGGGGGGGGG